CGTTACTTATCGAAATAGCATTTTCACTTGAATTTTTCCTGGGCCAGTGGTTTAGCCATTCGTTTACGTACCTAGATAATAATATAGCCGTTATCAAAACACATCTGGTTCCTTCTTTCTTTTCCTTTTCTTTTTTTTTACTCAGAAATTCCCTGTCATTCTAATGACACACTTTTTCACTTGTTACTTATCAATATTTTCATTGTCTCTTAGGCCATGTGTATGGCTGTTTTATCACCTATGATCCGTCTCGCATTTCTTTCTGCCTTCTTTTCTTTCTCTTTCTTTCTCTGCCTCGTAAATGGTGCCACACCTGTCAAGTTACGCGAAATGTTATGACCTGCTTTGTTTTATTTTCAAATTACATCTTTTCGGCTGAGAATCTAAGTCAACCTTGGTTCAAAATATTTTAAATAAACATTATAATTTCTGATTTTCTTAAAATAATTTTTGAAAAAATGATAATTGATTTTTAAAAGAATTTCAAAATGAGATTTTCATCTTTTTATAAAATGGAAAAAAATGGATGCCATAATCGATTATCTGTCAGTTTTGCTGACTCAAAAAAAAAAACAAGATTTTTAACGAAAATTTCGGACGTGCTCGGAACGATTACAAAATGTAAAAAAATAATCCAAACATACTTTAATCTTTCTTCTTAATAACACGAATATTTAGACGATAAAATTTTGTTTTCCTCAAGTTTGGCGTCTTTTTCATCATCTTATGCTCTTTTTTAGCGATCTCATGGATGTACCTAAATGCATAACATCTCCATGAGAAACTTAAATATGAAGTGGCTATTAAAGCATATGACTTGAACAATAATTCTGTTTGGAGCATCTTACGGCGTTGGGTAGAAGCACTCCTAGCGCTGCATATTTGATGGTCAACATCTTTATCGTGTTCGGTATTGAACTGATTATAACTGATCCATAAATCGATGTAATGGAATCTTTAGAATTTATCAATCCCAAATTCTGAACTGAATTTACTACGTACGATCACTACTATTATTTTATATATATTTTATAGGAAGATTATTATATTAGGTTGGTGCAAAAATAATGACGTAATAATGTCGTTTTTGACCTTAAAAAAATACGTCCAAAAAAAAGACATCATTACGTCATTATTTTTGCACCAACCTAATAATTTCGGTCACTGCTAAAGTGATCTGATTAGATGTATGTTTTATTTATATTACTGTTATCTTCGTAGGAGTTCTTGAGTTTTACAGGGTGCGATGGATAAATTATCGTCTAAATGACGCAAAAATTAAAATAACACTGACATATCATTATAAAAATTATATTTATCAAAATTTCGTAAAAATATATGGAAATACTACAGAGTAAATTTATTCAATAAAATCGCCATTGGCTTCAAGAACTACCTCCTAAAGAGACTATATGTAGACCTCCCTGTTGACTCTGAGGACCTCACTAACAAATTGGTGAGTTATTTTCTCATCAAAACGATCAGAGTGAGTTTTTCGGGCTGTCGTACCTTCGTAATCACCATTAAACTCCTCCAAGTCTTTCCGAATCTTCTGCATTGTCCTCAGATTGAGACCCAAATACTCGGAAATGTTCATACTGGAGATTCCTGCGCGAATACCAAGCAGTACAGCGGGCCATTTTCAAATTCCTGGCGGAATGAAGTGCATCATTCTGCTCGTTTTCTCACAGGCGGTGCCCAACTGACACTACCATAGTTTACAGTCGTCACAAATTCAAAACAAACAACGCGCATGCGCGAAATAAAAAATATAAAGTTGCGACAATTTATCCATTGCACCCTGAAATTTAGATCAAGTCCCATAAAAACAGGAAAATATCATGAATGTTCCGACTGACCACAGCACCGCCGTAGTATTAATTCACCAAGTTATTTTAATCCATTCAATCTCTCTTCACTTTCTTTTTCTTGTTTCGTATGACTCCAATTACAACAATTATTATGGAAACCATCGTAACAAATCTTTATTGCATTCACTGACTATTATTATCCGAAGTAACTGGGAATTATACTGGCAATTAATCGACTTGGATCAACTCACCACATGTTTTATTCTTCCTTTTCTTCTGGACGTTGGCGATCATAGTTCTTTACAATTTCATAACCTTTATAACTTTTAATACTGTTTGCCATCTGTAGGTTATGCGCTGTTGACGTGTTCCTCTTACCTTCAATATGTCTTTTGAGCGTCAAATATTCTAAGCCCGCTTTTATTTTACACACACATATATATATATATATATATATATATATATATATATATATATAAGGCTGAAACATTAATATTCCATGGTTATAATTTATTACATTAGAATCGTAATCATTCATCAGACCTACAAATTAAAAAAAAAATGAACATTGAGTTCTATCTGGATTCTATCCTCTTGGACATATCTATATATATATATATCATAACTGTTTCATTAAATAATATAGACAAGTGTTGTCTCTTTATTTTATGTAAATTCTTTTCATAACATCTGATAAGCTTAATAACATTATCATTAAACGAAGAAAGAAAATCACAATATTGATACATATTTTTTAATCCAATCTAAGCTAGCTATATATATATATATATATATATATATATATATATATATATATATATATATAGTACAGGTAAAATCTATGGGTAAAGTGATCCAAGTCAATTCTATTAATATAAAATGTTGAAATTGATCCAGGAAAAAGAGCTCAATATATTTATTATAGAACATAGAAATGAATAACATACACATTATTTTTTTTTTATTTAGGCATCAAATTCATTTTAGGCATGTCTGATTAAATAAATTAAAGACATTATGTCTGCATATTTTACTCACGGATATAGAATTTAAAAAAACATTACCAACAAAAGTTTTGTCGGCATTAAATAACATATGGATGTTGATATGCCGTAAAACCAAAAGAAATCAACCAAACAAACTCGCGCAAAACCTTCCGTGTATTGCAAGCAATATGAGAAATGTACTATAATTATGAAAATCATTTTTATTTTCCATTTTTCTAAGTACTTTCGATCCTCTTCCGAGATCATCTTCAGGCGTGTAAGTAGTAATACAATACTGTATGTTGTTCACGGGTGCAATTAGTAATACAAAACTGTTTTTGGGTATCTGTTACTGTTTTTTTTTTTTGTTTTGTTTTGTTTTGGTTTTTTTTTGCTTTCCAATGCAACGGTTGACAGTCATGGTTAACATTCATTAGAAAGTAAAAAAAAAATTATCCACTATGAATTTTTCTTCTGTTGTAATGTCATTTTCATGTGCGCATTAAAGCGTAAAAAAACTTCTTTTTTTATAGACATTTCAGAACATTATTACAGTATTCGTAGTTGATTCTATTAAGTGACTGGTAGAATTTTTTTAATGTATATTGCTTCGAGAATCTGTAGTTTGGGAGCAAATTACAGAGTATACTGGGCTGTCTAGCCTTAGTTAGCAACCCATTTGAAGCGACATCTAATTTCAATACAGTGAATAAAGCAACGGGAAAATACTTCTTCATATTTCCTATTGAACCACAGTAATTATTATGAAGGGCATCCTGACAAATCTTTATTGCATTCACCAAGTTTTAATATCTGAAGTAACTGGGGGTCATACTGAAAATTAATTGACTCTGAACACCTCTCCACATCAATACTTGCATTAGTATTCTAGATGTTTTCAATAGTACCTTAGTCTGGATACTCTCGATGTTTCCTTTGCTTTGCTTTTCTTATAGTCGGTTTGTTAGTGCAACGTTATTATAATATGTTACTTACGTAAATACGAAATAAATTTAATTTTTATATTTTATTTAACTCTGGGACTTATCAGTCACCGTAGTCAAGTGCATGCTTGGGTTTATGATCTTTTTCTCGAATGTGGACTCTATATTCTCGTGGGGATGTATGAGACATGATAATTTTGTTCTCACGGCCGGCTGCTTATAGATCTTATAACGTTTGTTTATTTTCACTTTTATATTTACATCTCGGGGGCGCAGGGTCGATCTCGGGTTTACATGGCAGGTGGCATCCACCGACTTCGTTTAAATGAAGCGTGGGTGTGCATCCAGCAACTAGGGCGTCAACTCTCAGTGTCAACCCGCCGAGGTACCTGGCTTTAATTTTCTCTAGTTACAAAAGCTAATCATCTGCCGTGTGTCGCATACTACATGAGGCCTTTTGCTACCCTCTCTCGCGCTATCACAATCATTTTTCACATTCTTTTTTTTTCTTATTTTGGCAAGGTTCAGATAGTTATTTGGCATTTCGTTTTCCCTTAACTTTACATTGAGGTCTGTTGGGACAGCGATATCCGATTTTCGCTTAACTAGTGACGAATTGCCGGGGTGGATTAGATAATCCGTGTAAATCTCATTATTTTCATATTTATTCACACACAGCGATTTTGGTTTGTTTATATAATATTGTTCGGCGCGGTAAATATTAACTAGTTTGTACAGTTCTCAATTTATTGCTCTTCATACCCACTCAAGCATATTTTATTACCTTTTTCTGTTAAGCTAATAGATTATCATGGGTTTCTTTTTCTAGATTTCAGCTCCTCATAGCGGGTATTTATTTTTCTCGCTTACCATATTTACAGTGGAATTCAAATTATAGTTTTAGGTAGTATTTCAGGCAGCCAATATCGATTTGCTTACTTTTACATTTTGCTGTTCTAATAAACCATATCGTTTCCAGTACTCTTAAATTGATTAAGCTCTTGAATTTTCCGTACGTAATTTGATGTTTCAATTTTGTGGTTCACTTTTTAAGATATTTAGTTCTTTATTTCCCCAAACAAATTATGCATCTTTTCTAAATTAAGGATCATAGTCCGAGTGTAAATAATTTAAATAAATACTTAATAGTGTTTTTTTGTTTTTTTTTTAAATAATTAGGAATTGTGCTGTTGTGAAGTATCATTATGCAAGTGCAAACTTATTTATAAAGCTGAAACATTTTCCTCCCTATCTCCAATTTATACAAATATCCTGACGGTGGAGCATATAATACGCCGTCTACATATCCTGAAGATGGGTAAAACTACACATAAACTGGCTACCAATCGATGCGTTCTTGCAATATGTGTTTGCGTGTTGGATAACAAGAACGAGCTGTCTGTGCCAGTGAGCTCGATGTCGAGGGGCGAGCTGTGTTTGCCAGTGAGCTCGATGTCGAGAGGTGAGCTGTGTGAGCTCGATGTCGAGAGGTGAGCTGTGTGCCAGTGAGCGCTCGATGTCGAGGGGCGAGCTGTGTTGCCAGTGAGCTCGATGTCGAGGGGCGAGCTGTCTGTGCCAGTGAGCTCGATGTCGAGGGGCGAGCTGTGTTTGCCAGTGAGCTCGATGTCGAGAGGTGAGCTGTGTGTGCCAGTGAGCTCGATGTCGAGGGGCGAGCTGTGTGTGCCAGTGAGCTCGATGTCGAGGGGCGAGCTGTGTGTGCCAGTGAGCTCGATGTCGAGGGGCGAGCTGTGTGTGCCAGTGGGCTCGATGTCGAGGGGCGAGCCGTGCGTGCCAGTGGGCTCGATGTCGAGGGGCGAGCCAGTGGGCTCGATGTCGAGGGGCGAGCCGTGCGTGCCAGTGGGCTCGATGTCGAGGGGCGAGCCGTGCGTGCCAGTGGGCTCTGAGGGGCGAGCCGTGCGTGAGGGCTGATGTCGAGGGCAGCCAAAGGAGCCAGTGGGCTCGATGTCGAGGGCAGTGCGTGCCAGTTCTCGATGACGAGGACGACTGTGCGTGCCAGTGCTTTCTGTGACGAGGACGACCTGCGTGTGCCAATGGGTTCGGTTACATATAGTATTTTTTCTTATACAATCCTTACCAATTATTTGTTTAATATAACACAATTGTTTTATTCTGAATTCAGTGAACGGTGTAAATTTTAATCCCCCATAAAAGTTTGTTTTTCACTAAGAAAGACATTGGATCGGTGTATGTTGACCATTTATTTGAGGGATCAAAATACCGTTTGTGGCACAATTCCCAGCTTACGTTATATTTATTCTCGGATTCTTTCTGGGTTAACGTACTAAATTTGTATTCTGTTCTTGATTTGCTATTATTTTGCAATTCTCCATTAGAAATCATTTTTTTATGGCATTGTTTTGTGTCTCTCCTTTCTTTATTTTTTGAACTGTTTCTTTGCCGGCTTCTTAAGACCGACAGTATTATGATTGCATTTTGTGGTTACAGCACAGTGAAGATTATTATTATGATTTAATTATTCCCTTTCTTCATTTGCCCTGTCTCTTCATGCCTCTCTATAACATTATTTATTGTAGCGATAAGCAACCTTTGGTTTTTAGCGTTATTCCTTTCCACCACTCTGCTGTCCATTCGCAAAAACTCATTAGGTATGAGATAATCTTTCCCTCTGCCCTCCATATTCCCTCCTGGGTGTTAATTTCTATTTGACGTTATCCTGTGTTTTATCTGAGATACTTACTTTAAGATCTACAATGTGTTTTTTTTTCTCCAGAACAGCGATGTCCACTCTTATTCGGCCCTCTCGTCTGAAGTGGGTTATCTGATTAGGTCTCAAAGTCCCAGACAATTTAGTGTTTCATTTGATAGAACAGTCTGCTCTCTGCGTATGTTATTGATCTGTGTAGTTAAAATAGTTAAAATGTAATCGCTTGCAAAGTTTCCAGTAGATTACTTTCCCAATTACCAACTTTTATTTCTTCCAAATGTCCATTTAAAGTTCTTCTGTCTTTTATCTTGTTTTGGTTCCTTTTCAGAACTATTCTATGGTCTACAAGAAAAATAAAGTCCACTGTCATGTTTTGTTTCTTGTTCAGATGAAAAGGCACGTATTCTTGATCTCTGATTTCAGTGACAATTTTGAACCTCAAATACTGAAATATTTTTTTCTTCTCTAAAACAGATCCTGGATCCGTGCATTTTGACTATTGATTTGGTTCTTTTAATGGTCTCTGGCACGGTTCCCCAAGCTATAAGCGTTCTTGTATTCTTTTTAGTCGATTTCTCCTTTGTTTTTGTTTTTTTTTATTTGTTTTTTTTTCAAATATTATTTGATCGGTATAAAGTCGATTGTATCGTTGTTTTTTGCAGCTATCAAGCGACATTCGAGATCTATTTGTTGTCTTTCCCTCCCTTATCATGTCCATGTTACTTTATCTGTTGTTTCCTAGATTTTTCTCCTTGATGATTCTTTCGGCATTTTCTAAAATTTCTGGATATTGAATATTCGGGTTTCTCTTAATTATCTTATTTTTTACGTGTTGACCATTACATGAGATAATTCCTTCATCGCCTGGAATGACATTAATCTCTATAATTACCACATATATTTCGGTTCACATCTTTCATTCTTCAATCTTGTAGCGTTGACTATACTTTCTTCATTTTCATCATGAAAAGAAACATGTTAGAAGAATAAGAATTAATTTATTTTTTTCTTATACCAAAGAGAGTTCGCGGCGTACGGTCAGACCATATTCAAAAGCAGGTCCTAATACGATCACTGAAGTTAAGCAAGGTCGGGACTGGTCAGTACCTAGATGGGTGACCGATTGGAAAGCCAGTATGTGGGAGTGATGTAAAGGATCTTTCCTAAAAAATCTTATCAGCATTAAATAACCTATTGATGTTGATATGCCAAACCAATTCCAGTTGGGCTCGTTTTATTTACTTACACGCAAATACACTTGGGGAATGTATGAATCCACCTTTTCTCCCCCTAGCTGTGGGTTAATTAGTAGGACTTGATCAGTGAATCATTAGTTTCTCCGAAAAAAACTTGGAATCAAAAATGTCATGGATTCAAATAATCTGCAAAAGGTTGACAACCCGTAAAAAAGCAAATATATCAGTCAAAACAGTGGGTTTCGAGAGCCAAGCTGTCATTTGTTGTTACTGAGCTAATTTAATTCTTTCCAACTTCGAGAAGTGCATGAGATTAGCCTGTATTTCGGAAGAAAAGAGTTTCACATTTCTAATTACAAAATAGTGGTACAGTTCCCGGAAACCTGTCTGCAGTGAAGTCACTATTCTTGAAAAGAGTTTGTATTTAAATTATCTTTCTTTCTTTTGAGGCGTTTTCAATGCAACAAAATTGGCTCAGCAAAGCAAATACACAAAAATGGAGGTCTGCATTATGACGTTTCTATAAAATTCAAGTTATGCTGGGAACTCGTATTTGGTGCCCGGAATAATGTGCATAATTAGATAATGATCTTTTTAAGGAATTGCGTTCATTTAATATCTTCCAGAAAAAAAATTTTCTTTAATTTTGCAGATTTAAATCCACTTAATAAGTGTGAACTTATACGAAAAAGAAAAAGATAAATAAAGTCTGTGATATTTTTGTTACTGGCAGTGGGAGTTTAGAGATGTTTCTCCGAAAATAAAAAAGAATGAAAATATAGTTAAGAGTTAATTTGAGTAAAATGTGTTGCAGATATCTATTTGGAGGTGCTACTGTTTGCCTACCTCAGTTCCTTGCCTTCTCAATCAATCCATGTACGTTTTTACAGGAACAAATTTGGGGTGCTGCTTTTTTGGCTACCTTGGTTCATTACCTTCTCAATCAATCCATTACATGAACAAATTGGGGGTGCTGCTGTTTGGCTACCTCAGTTCAATACCTTCTCATGTGGAACTCAGATATACGTTTCATCGCTAAAGATGATGGGAAAATGTTGTATCACTCCAAAAAGTACCGGTCTCTTCCTGCCATGCTCTCTTTTTACAAGAGTCAGTTTTAGTCATATCTGGACTGTCTGTCCTTAGTGTACGGTCTTGAAAGGATTCAAACGCATTTACGCGGCCTTGTGAGTGATGAATTATTTTCCTCCTTACAGCCCTATTCGCATAGTCGAAACGTTACTCACCTCTTACTATTCTATTGATATTTTCCAGGAAAATCCTCAGATTGTTGCAGTCCTTAATACAACTGGTTCAAGTCTTTACAACTAGGACCTGTCAAGAATTGTTACTTTGCGAAACAGACTCCCCGATTACTAGTTCATATATCCTACGTATAAGGATAATCTGAGTTTTTTACTCCCCCTCTTACGCTATTACATCAAACTCAATCAGAAATCCTTTAGCATGTGTAGCTCTTAGGCCTTGTATTAACGGAACAATAGTATACAAATGTTAATTTTAATACTTCCAATTGTATACTGTGTATATTGGTTTATATATCTGTCTCGTTGCGTATAACTGAGACCGGTTTAGCTTACATGAATCTCCGGTCTCATCTCATGTCATTAATAAAATTTACTTGCAAGCATCTCACTGTACTGTCCTTGTGTCAGATTAAGCTAAGCTGCGTATTTAAATATCTACATTTCCATCATTTATTTTTTCATTCTCCCCACATCTCGATTTATTTAAAGAATTGCGTTTTTATTGCAAAAATGACTTATTTAAATACCTATCTCCCCGACAGTGTTGAGTTATTTTCAATTTGATTCTCCATCGACAACATACTTGTCACTAACAGTTTTATTTTTACACGATAATATTCACATTTGTTCTACTAGCACCAAAACAAAAATAAGTGGAGAAGTAGCGTTGAATTTCACTTTTCTTGTTTTACATTAACCCAAAAGTAAACATTCACGTACGAAATATGCCTGTGGATTGCAATATAAAACCATGTTTTTATAAGAAATTTCGATTAGATTCTATGTGGGCGTTGCTTACGTATTTGCACTTCTTGAATCCGTTCGACATTTATCGATATATTTGTCGTAATATTTTTTTTCGGAGATAATGATATCAGGGATTTTTGCCTTTAATGTCATTATCACAGAGTTCTAGATAGTAATAACTAAAGACATCTTCCAGAAACAAATCAGAGTTCCAAAATAGAAAGATTACGGAAGAAACAAAGGGAAGGAACCATGAACTGTCATAAAATATCTAATTTCCTCCACGGCCGTGAATCCTAGAAAATCTCGTCACATATGACGAGACGTGACACAACTGCGAGACCGTTCTATGAATGACTACTAAGAATAACATAACCTGGTCATATGAGCAATAACAAAGTTTTAAGGAAAATAGGATCTTCAATGATACAAGCAGAAAAAAAAACAGTTTGTTTCTCGGTCACATATTGAGGATTGGTTGTTATTTTTTTTAATTACCGCTTAACATTCTGTTATTTAAAGCCCAAATATATTTTAGATTGTAACAGCATATTTTTTCTAGGGGAATAAAGCGGTATTTATTTTGGGGAATAAAAATGTATTCTTCCCTATAAAAAATTTAACTATTTAAAACCCAGCTGGGGTGGAGATGGCTTCATATCTTGCCAAATTATAATTGAGCGTAAGAGAATGTAACGAACCCGACTGGAATTCGAACTCGAATCTCTGCTTTCTCATTCCGGGCCGCTATATATTACACCAGCAGTGAATAAACAGGAAAACATAGTTTTCTATTAAAATTTTAAAACATTGATAAATGCAATGGACATAAATCTGTGTTCGTTTTGATCTTCACGAAAATAGAGAAACCGAATCAAATGTGTGTGTGTGTATATATATATATATATATATGAGAGAGAGAGAGAGAGTATATGATATATATATGACGTCACATTATGAAATGTACAATTCCGACAATTATTTTAAGACATTTTATGTATATACATTCTTTTTATAGATGCAAATATTAAAGTAAATGTCCTGTTTATAATAAACAGTATTAAATAACATTTACCGGTCTGAATGTCCGAGGAATTTTCACAGAAAATATTCGTCCTCCGATATGTTCTCTATATATATATATATATATATATATAAGATGATCGAAGCAGACATAAAAATCGAGACATACGAACTGAAACATAAAAATTAAATAAAAGAAAATAGAGAAAAAAACGAGAGAAAACATCAAAAGACAGATCTGAAATGCCTGACAAATACTGATTTATAGAAACAGTAAAAGATAGAAGGTGACTAGATTAAATAAACAGACATCTACCATAGAAAAAAAAAATAAACGTGCGGTGGGAAACAGACCACCGAAGACAGATGGGAACAGACTTCGATATATAATCAATATTTACTCACTTAATATGCCGTATATGCCTCGGGTCATTTATAAAACCTGCTGTTTCTAATGGTCACCGATGAAAATACTGACAGAACCAAACATTGTTAATTATGGCGAACTTATGTAACGCTGGTTCCGAATTAATATCAGACATGATATATTTTATATACGAATTTAATTCCTAAGAACATGAGTTGAATTATTCGATTCTTCAAAGAAATTGTCGAAATCAGTCATCGGGAAAAATGACTATATTCCTGAACATAAGTAGTAATGCTTTAAAATGGCCATATTGATGCATTTATGAGTTGTATTTTTGTGACAAAATGAGTATGGCTCACCGCACAAGATCACATATACCAATATAACCCTACTGAAGTCGTATGTGTTCAGTCAACTCTGTTCAGGTTGGTTTTCCATGATAATGTATTAATAATATATAACATTTAATCGACATGAACTTTAGTAACATGCATGAAATTTTGATCAGCTCTTTTTTATCTATAATATATATATATATATATATATATATATATATATATATATATATATATATATATATATATATATAATCATAATGACATCACAAATATTTAGGAACCAGTTCTATAGTCAGGTAATCTTTAGGAACATATACTGCTTATTTTCTTTTCAATCTGAGAATGGAAAGAAATCAATTTATACTATAAAAAGATGAAACCATTCTGTCAATTTAATAGAAAATATTTATTTAAGATATTTCCTGATTGAAATTCTGTTCTCATAATATTTCTGTTCAGATGTCTGATGCTTTTTGACTCTAGTGTTATCAGCTGCGTTATGGTTCCTTAGCTACATCTGAACTAAATCAGTACCATCTGAAAGATACATTGGAAGACCTATCAAATTTACGACTAGGAGATTTGCTACATTTTTAAATTAATGACGATTTTTTTTGTCATCATAGAAAACGTACTTTTAGCTTTCAAAGATCTTACGGCATTGGTATTAATTATATTTTAACTATTATATTATATATATATATATATATATATATATATATATATATATATATATATATATATATGACTACTTTTGATAATCTAACAAACTGCTTTCGGTAAGCTTTTATAAGTTGAAGAATCGGTTAGCGTAAATGTGTTATTGCGCCACTTATATATATATATATATAAGGAAAGAACTCGTTAGGTAAATAATATTGTTTTGAAACATGAGAACTCTTATGTAGCGTGTTGAAAT